CAAACAGAAACAATGGGTATTGAATATAAGTGTTTGTAGAAAGCCTATTGGTCCATATTTCTTGATGCTTCTATATTGGAGCGGAGTCTTGAGGTGGGTAGAATATAGTTGTGCAATAATTGGCTGTTGATTGCTGGTGTTGACTTCTTGATGTGTAGTGCCTCGCAAACGTCAAGCCGCCTGCTATCGCTATAGATACAGCGATAGCAGGCGGCTATCGCTGTATAGTAGTAGGCCATGCATAGTAGGCGGAGAAGTGCGTTCTGGCTACTAGGTATATATATATATATATATATATATATATATATATATATATATATATATATATATATATGTCGTACCTAGTAGCCAGAACGCACTTCTCCGCCTACTATGCAAGGCCCGATTTGCCTAATAAGCCAAGTTTTCCTGAATTAATATATTTTCTCTAATTTTTTTCTTATGAAATGATAAAGCTACCCATTTCATTATGTTTGTTGTCAATTTTTTTTTATTGGAGTTAAAATTAACGTAGATATATGACCGAACCTAACCAACCCTACCTAACCTAACCTAACCTTTCTTTATAGGTTAGGTTAGGTTAGGTAGCCGAAAAAGGTAGGTTAGGTTAGGTTAGGTAGGTTAGGTAGTCGAAAAACAATTAATTCATGAAAAGTTGGCTTATTAGGCAAATCTGGCCTTGCATAGTAGGCATAGAAGTGCGTTCTGGCTACTAGGTACGACATATATATATATATATGTCGTACCTAGTAGCCAGAACACACTTCTCAGCCTACTATGCAAGGCCCGATTTGCCTAATAAGCCAAGTTTTCCTGAATTATTATATTTTCTCTAATTTTTTATAATCTACATTATATAATCTACATTAATCTGAATTTGTATAGGAGAAAATACCGGTTTTAGTGTTCTAATTAGGTTGATGTGGAGGGCCGCTTCTCGGGCGAGCATAGCCTGATGGCTTGGGCAACCGTAATGGTGTGTTAATATTAACACCACCAGCCAGCCCCAGGCCGTCTCTTTAATCATTGTTTGTAGCCATGTGTCAAGGTGACCAGATACATAGATAGAGAGGTTGATAAAGATTGATAAATAAAGAGATGGATAGAGAGTTAGAGAGGTTGATGGAGAGGTAGATAGATAAAGATAGAGGGATACAGAGAGCGATAGTTAAATATAGAGTGAGATAGATGAAGATAGAGAGGATATAAAGAGCGACAGATAAAGATAGAAAGGGATATAGAGAGCGATATATAGAAGAGATAGGAAGATAAAGATATAGATAGAGATATAGAGATAGATATATATATTGAGATATATAGATATAGATATATATACAGAGGCAGACAGAGGTATATGAAACAACAGTGAAGCAGAAAAGAAAAGATAATGTTTAAAAACTGACTGACATAAAATGAGAATGAATACCAACCTAAGGAGTAGTATCATCAACAGGTCTAGCTAAATACTGTACTGTATTGCAAATCACTGGTAAAAACTGAAAGTCTTAAATGAACTAGCGTTTACAACAATTCAAAGCCTTTTTCCAATTGTCCAAATGCAGAGAGATTAATGTATGTATATAAATGTCTCTCCCTAGTAGGTACAATATCCAAGAGTGGCATTGGTTCGACGTTAAATCAACTTCATCACTTAATTAAATACGAAATTGAAGTTGATGATGTTGATTCAGTGTTGAATTATCATTGCTCTTGGATATTGTGGCCACTAGGTCTATGTGGCATTCATCAAAGCTGAATCACGAGAGAGGAAATTTGCCAGATCACAAGGTGTTAAGGTTTCCAAAATGACTGTCCACTGAGGGTTTAAGAGGGACCGTAAATCTTCAGTGAAGAAATCCTATAAAGATAATTGTATTTAAGAAGACCTGAAAATATAATATAAAGTATGCGGAAACAAATTACTGTTCAGTGCGGGGTTTTCGCATGATTCAGTATGTTCAGCCTCAGTAGATGTCTTGAAAGGAAAGGAAGTTACCAAGAGAAGACACTAAGCTCGTGGGTGTCTGGAGGTTAGCATCTCGAGGTAGCAAACTCTGGCATCAGGTATGCCTTAAGATCTGACATTTTATTTACCATAGTAGCAGTGTATGTCAATACTCTTTAGTGATGTTTTGATATTTTTTTTTTTTTTTACCATTTCCAAGTGTCCAAAGACCAGTGATTGGACACCCATTTTCAGTGACTTATTTCTTGGGAATTACTTCATTAAAGACTTTTTTGTATGATAGCATGGTGTGTTTGGCATATTGGTCGAAATTTTAATTGAACTTGGATATATTTGCTCCTGGAGTGTGGACACAAGAAATAGGGCTGATTATGGTACCAGTGTCCTAATACTGTTTATCAGTTTTCTAGGTACTATCTGTGTCATTATATAGTATAAAGGCCATAAATCCATCAGAAATTAAAATAGAATAAATTAAATCAAATATAATCCCTAAATTTAACTATACATAATAACTACAATTTTCAGGAGAACTATTCACTGAATCCCTGTCAAAATTTTTGTTTATTCTAACAGATGTTTACCAGATATCTTTCATGTTTGAAAACATTTTTGGAGTACAATACATTTAATGATTTCTCGAATTTTTGTGGTTTGTTCTATGGGCTGGTGTAGGCATTAAAGATTTTTTTCTGCTCAGATGTCCTGTAACTGATGACCATCAGGAAAGGGGCAACGTTATCTTACCGACTAAAATTAAAGAGATGAGCTAATTATTTTGGTTAAGTGGACTGCAGAACAGGCTGGGGTTATATGTGAGATTTGACACATAAAGCCTAGTAATATTTAATTTTTTTATTGTTATGCATAGTTATGAATAAATTTCAAAACAATGGCTGCATTATCATAGCATTTCACAACATACTGAGATAATTTGCACCCATTATCTCTGTAGTGGAATAGCTTGCTGTAAAAAAATCTATATAATAATCTACTGTTTAAGGACTATGGTTTATTATTTGGCAGGAAAGGTAGAGGTAGTGCTTTTGTTACATTACGTTTTGTCTGATTACACTCGTTACTGTTTTCTGGTGTAAGACACCAAGAGGCTACAGCTGCAAATCAGAAATTGAAGAGAATTGCATGCTCAGAGGAGAAAGCACAAAAATCACTTCAAGCAAAAGATTTGTTATACTGGAGAGCACAGGCAGTCCCCGTGGCGTAGTGGTAAGACGCTGGCTTGGCGTTTCTGGAGCGCTTTGGCCTGCAGCCTCAGTTTACCCAACAGTAAAATGGGTACCTGGTTGTTAAACGATTTGGACTCGATATCTGCCCTGTGGCAGATTTCCAGGGGTCTCACTTCCTTAGCAAACAATTATAAAGTACAGCACTGGTTTTCCTCAGTTTCTCTCTATTAGTATACTGTAACTTCCTGGATCATAACAAAAGCCAACTCCATTAATTCATTTTTGACCTGCCGTCAAACTTTCTGAATTATAACACACAAACACTCTTAATCGTTCTCAGACTTGATATTAACGCTTAAATATATTTTGGAATATAATAAGAAGATACAAAGGTTGATCAACAGGTGCATAATACAGGTGTACGAGTCATTAGCTCACCTCGCCATCAAACACCAAACATGTGTTACCTTCCACATATAATCAGAGACAACCAAGGGTTGGGGGGGGTCTTCGACCTACGGTTAGCCTCATCCTCTCTTTCAAATTGTCCCGCGTCGCTGGTAAGCTGTTGTATAGACCTAATGGAACAACACACAGCCGCTGCAGAAGAGCCAATTAAGATGCACTGAAATATCAGTGAAGCTCGTATCACTTTGTGACGTTCCAAAGGTAAGGAAGCCATGTAATATTTCAGCTCAGAGAGTTTGGGAAGGTGGGATGGGGGGAGGGGCTATATATGGCCCGCTCGTCCCATGTCACAGACACACCTGTTACTGATCAGTGTGTGTGGTGCTATTATTGTCATAACGTGTAATGAGAAGTGTTTTGGTAACGTACAGGCGCCTGAGGCTTCACTTGTGTCCACATCACTCACCAGTCAACCTGCAGCTCTGATCTCCGCCTCCCGATCACGTACACCAGCTCCTGACGGTATAACCAGACCATCTCTTTTATAAATCATAATTTCTACTATCTGAATCCAAGTTTTGTGTGCTAGTATGTACCAAAATATATGTATTCGAGGACCTCCTGGGCTGCAGCTGATGACTGCAACCCACAACAGTTGGCTAACTCACAATTACCTGTTTACTGTTAAGCGAACAGTATCATCAGGTTTAGGGACACGTGGACAATCGTTTCTGTTCTGCTCTGGAATTATGCCCAAGTTTCTTGATTGTGAGTCCATTTGAACGGTTTAATCATGTTCTTCTGACTCTACACCTTTCAATGGAATGTAAATTCAGTTTACTTAGTTTACCAAGTCATCCTTTTCTGTACACTCAAAATAGTTTACATACGGTGCCCAAACTATTGTTTAGTCTCAATTAGGTATCACAAGGCGTCACACTGTACATTACAGCCGTTTTACTGAGCTTAATATGCTCATACTGTACTGTGTAAACCAATTTTAAATAAGAACACAGAAAGTAGGCAACTGTAGAAGGACTATTGACCATGATTGATTGATGAAGATTAAGCCACCCAAGAGGTGGCACGGGCGTGAATATCCCGTAATGTTGGCCATGCGCGTTAGCTTCTGTTTATATCCACCAAAGGTCATTCATACATGTCTAACATACACTTGACACAATCCAGGGTAATCAATACACAATCAATCCATTATAAGTGATATAATATGGTTATGGTGCCCAAACTTGTTATGGTATATTATATGATGAGGGCGTGGAGGGGCTGGCCGCCTCCAGGTACTTCAGTGGTGAGGGGTTTAGATGGGTAACGTGACGATGCTTCTAGCTTTCATTGTTTACTAAGGGCGCTCATTGCCTGCTGGCTAGTGTGTAGTGATATCCTAATATTACTGCATAAATACTGCGATATTCCAACAGCTGTGGAGGAGACCAGGGCCAGCTGTGGAGGAAACTAGAGCCAGGTGTGGAGACTAGAGTCAGCTGTGTTGGAGATCCTGGCCAGCTGGAGCAGGGGGTGGACCTCACACCTGCCTTAACAACTCCATCATGAGCGTCCCTTGTCGTCGTCCTTCTCCTCCTGCTACATTCACGCCAGCTTATCTTCTCTTCCTCCTCGTCCTTGTGGCCCAGTACCAGGTAGGTCAGCCCAGTACCAGAGAGGTCAGCCCAGTACTATTACAGGTGTGGACTGTGTAGCAGCTGCACAGGAACATGTGTAGGTGAAGGTGGTGGCATAGAGGGAGGACAGTGTGAGGTGTGAGTCTTCATTAAGACGTGGCGACAGAGTGGATGGCTCTTGGAAGGCGTCGTCCAGGTGTTAAGCCATGTGGGAATGCTTGAGGACACGGTGTCCGTGTCTGGCAAGGTCGGAGAGGGCGTGGCAAGGTTATATGAAGATGGAGCAAGACGCAAGAGCTCGCTGCGTGAGGTTGTTATTCTCTTACTTTATGCGATAATCACAAATGTGTAAACATCACGTTTTGTCTCACGAGTTTGTTTTCGCAGAGGACTGTGGGCGTGGGCTGTGTCGGAGCGGGCGGGCGGTGTGTGGGCGGTGCTGGTGGGCGGGAGTGTGAGTGGGTGGAGGGCGGGAAGGGCCGCCCACTGGAGCAGTCTGACTGTGGACCCGGAGAGACGTGCTGCTTCTCTGGTAAGTCCAACACCATCTGACTCACATATTGTGCAATATACTCATATCAACAGGAGAGTTGTTTGCATGAGTAATAATAAATTATTTTAGCAGCAACAGCAGCGCCAGATGTAATAATATTTAAAATTCTACGTATTAAACACTTCATAAAACCAGGATTTACCATATATTGACCATTCCACGCTATCAGGGTTACAACACATTGAACACACCACATTATGTCATATTTTGAACACCACACGACCAGACTACGCTATATTTTGAACAACAAACAAGACTCCCTTGGTTATAATATATTTTGAAAACACCGCCCCACCAGATTACACCATATAATCCCATAATTACACCATACTGCCCGAAACGCTTTGCGTAATAGTGGCTTTAGGCATTGTATGTACTAGCTCTATCTATAAATCTATCAATTTTTGTAAAATCTCTTGTATGTATGTACCTTACCTGAATAAACATTTATTTATTTATTATATTTTTAACATTCCACACATCACCACCAGGGTCACCACTAGAATCACCACCGGGGTCAACAACACAACTGGAAGGCAGACGCAAGAGACGAGAGAGAGCGGAGGATTCTGAAGGTCTTCATCAACCTCGACGGAAGACGCTCGAGAGAGAACATGAACGGAAGTCACCAAGAAGAAAACAAATAAGTATCAGCAGGCACCGGAATAACACAAGACCCAGGGATAACAGCAGACCCGGAAATAACACCAGATCCGGGGATAACACAAGACCCGGGGATAACAGCAGACCCGGATATAAAGCCAGTAATCACAAAACAAAGAAACAGAGGAATAACAGCAGACCATCAGTGCTAGGAGAGCTCCACATTGACTCCCAAACTATCTCCGAGAACCGTAAACAAGGAGAAAAAAATGCAACAATCAGGCAAAAAGAAAGCAGACACAGGAAAGTCAACAATACAGAAGATAAGAAAATGAAGGAAAAAGCCGTGAAAGAGAATAAAGGGAAGTACAAACATGAAAGACACTCAGACGGGAGTAAAAGGAAGAGTGAGGTAGACAAAAGCAAGAGAAAGAAAGAACGCGGAAATATAAGGACGGCAGGAGGCCAACGGGGCCTTGAACGCAACAAGAACAAAACTCTTAAAGCCGGAGAGACTAAAACGCCAAGAAAGATCAAGAAAATGAGTGAAAAGACGAGCCGAAAAATGAATCCAATAAACAACTACGAGAAAGAAAGAAATGTGAAAAATCTAAAAAAGGCTGAAGGAAAAACAAGTAAAATAGATAACAATTTGAAAAGTGTTGCAGCAGCACCAGGAAGAAAAGCCAAGACGACGAATTTAAAGAAGAACGCAAAACTTAAGAAACAACTAGAATCAAACGCCGTTGAGGCAACACACTCCAGGAGGAACTCAAAGAAAACAAAGGATAGCAACTCCACGGAGAAGACAGCTAGAAAAACAAAGAAAAGGCTACAAAAGAAAATGAAGCAAAAGATGTTAAGGAAAACGCAATCAAACAAAACAGAAAAAATGCGATCAAAGAAAACTAATAAAACTCTATCAAAAAAGCCTCAGAAAATGCAACCAAAGAAATCTAAGAAAATGCATCCAAAGAAATCTAAGAAAACGCAACCAAAGAAATCTAAGAAAATGCAAACAATGAAATCTAAGAAAACGCAACCAAAGAAATCAAAGAAAACGCAACCAATGAAATCTAAAAAAATGCAACCAAAGAAATCTAAGAAAATGCAACCAAAGAAATCTAAGAAAACGCAACCAAAGAAATCTAAGAAAACGCAACCAAAGAAATCTAAGAAAACGCAACCAAAGAAATCTAAGAAAACGCAACCAAAGAAATCTAAGAAAATGCAACCAAAGAAATCTAAGAAAACGCAACCAAAGAAATCTAAGAAAATGCAACCAAAGAAATCTAAGAAAATGCAACCAAAGAAATCTAAGAAAATGCAACCAAAGAAATCTAAGAAAATGCAACCAAAGAAATCTAAGAAAACGCAACCAAAGAAATCTAAGAAAACGCAACCAAAGAAATCTAAGAAAATGCAACCAAAGAAATCTAAGAAAACGCAACCAAAGAAATCTAAGAAAACGCAACCAAAGAAATCTAAGAAAACGCAACCAAAGAAATCTAAGAAAACGCAACCAAAGAAATCTAAGAAAAATCAACCAAAGAAATCTAAGAAAATACAACCAAAGAAATCTAAGAAAACGCAACCAAAGAAATCTAAGAAAATGCAAGCAAAGAAATCTAAGAAAATGCAACTAAAGAAAATGCAACCAAAGAAAATGCAACCAAAGAAATCTAAGAAAATGCAACCAAAGAAATCTAAGAAAACGCAACCAAAGAAATCTAAGGAAATGCAACCAAAGAAATCTAAGAAAATGCAACCAAAGAAATCTAAGAAAATGCAACCAAAGAAATCAAAGAAAATGCAACCAAAGAAATCTAAGAAAATGCAACCAAAGAAATCAAAGCAAAAAGCAACCAAAGAAATCAAAGAAAATGCAACCAAAGAAATCTAAGAAAAAGCAACCAAAGAAATCTAAGAAAATGCAACCAAAGAAATCAAAGAAAATGCAACCAAAGAAATCAAAGAAAAAGCAACCAAAGAAATCTAAGAAACCTCAACCAAAGAAATCTAAGAAAATGCATCCAAAGAAATCTAAGAAAAAGCAACCAAAGAAATCTAAGAAAATGCAACCAAAGAAAAAGCAAACAAAGAAATCTAAGAAAACGCAACCAAAGAAATCTAAGAAAACTAAACCAAAGAAATCTAAGAAAATGCAACCAAAGAAATCTAAGAAAATGCAACCAAAAAAATCAAAGAAAAAAAAACCAAAGAAATCTAAGAAAAAGCAACCAAAGAAATCTAAGAAAATACAACCAAAGAAATCTAAGAAAATTCAACCAAAGAAATCAAAGAAAAAGCAACCAAAGAAATTTAAGAAAACGCAACCAAAGAAATCTAAGAAAACGCAACCAAAGAAATCTAAGAAAACGCAACCAAAGAAATCTAAGAAAAAGCAACCAAAGAAATCTAAGAAAACGCAACCAAAGAAATCTAAGAAAAAGCAACCAAAGAAATCTAAGAAAACGCAACCAAAGAAATCTAAGAAAAAGCAACCAAAGAAATCTAAGAAAACGCAACCAAAGAAATCTAAGAAAATGCAACCAAAGAAATCTAAGAAAACGCAACCAAAGAAATCAAAGAAAACATTACCAACGAAGAAGAACAAGAAAAATCTATCAGAGAAAACAAAGGAAAGATTGACAAAGAAAGTAAATAAATTGCGACCAGGGAAAACGAAGAAAACGCTATCAAAGAACACGAAGAAAAATCTTACAAAGAAAGCAAAGAAAATACAGCCAAAGAAAATTAGGAAAATGCAACAGGAAAAATTGAAGAAAAAACGAACAAAGAAATTGAAGAAAACGCTACAAAATAAAACAAAACAAACACTAAGAAAGAAAACAGAATTTCAGGGGAAAGAAAAGAAAAGGAAAAATAAAACACGTAAGACTAAAACGAAAAATAAAAAGAACAAAAAGGCAAAGAATGTTGTCAAAAAGAAGAAAACCAACAAAGGAAAGAAAAGTAATAAGAACAAAAAAGGGCATTTGAACAAAACCAAATCCCAGTCCAAAATCTCGTCTAAGAAAGGCAGCAAATCTTCCAAGAAAAAGGAGAAGGCCAAACAACTGGCGCGCCAAGAGACGAAGACAGGAGAGAAGGAGAAGGAGACATCTTCGAGGCAAGATTCAGGGTCGAAGAGAAAGTGTAGGAGGAGCAAGAAGTGTTCAAGAGCCGGAGGAAGGTGTACCAATGGTCAGTGTTCCACTAAGGTCATCGCGGGACGCACCAAGTGTAAAGGGAATTCTTGCGTCTGCTGTCGTCTAGGTCAGTCCTCCACGGTCTTAATGTTCTCTATTTATTATTTGTTTAATTTTGTATTTCTGTACGGAAACGGAGTTGCATGTCTGAACAGTGTTTAAACTAAAGCAGTAGTTAAGAATATTTATAGTTTTAAACAAATTTAATCCTAAAGTGACTTTATCAGTTAACCAGCCACTGGCAATATTTTCCGGGAAGGGGGAGAGAGGGTGTTGCCCGGCACTAAGTGAAGAATTAATGAGAAGATTACAGTTTAATCCGGTCTCATGACATTTTGAAAGGAGTAATAAGTTCTGAGGGAAATTGGTGTCCGTTCCTTGCCCCATACTTTGCCTGCTCCTTGTCCCTATGTTGGCGTTTTAGATTTAGCTACTCATAACGAAATGTCGATGTATCACGAGCTATAGTGAACCCGTAAATTGTTGTCCCCCATATACCTCCCAAGTGTTGTATAGTCATACTGGCTTAGTGCTCTTGCCTCATAATACCCTCACCCCTTCTGTACGAGGCTACGCAACACAGCCTCATCAACCTTGTAAACCCGTCTACCACAGATGGTGGCTCCTCACCACAACCTGGCCTCTCCATATTATATATATTGCATCTTGACGTCAACATGCCCAACGGACAAAATATAGTGTGTAGATAATCATCACAAACAACTGAGGTTTCTGTGAGTGGTGCCATCGGTTAGGTTAGGTTAACTTTGAGCAATTCAGTACATCCTTTTTGTGTGAGGACGGACTGGATGGTCAGTGGTACTGAACCAATATAAAAGAGGTTTGGGTTTACCACAGGACGCCGACTACGCTAGTTTAAAGTAACAAAAAGAAATTTATAATTATACATTTACCATTCAAGGATCACCTCACACTTACATGTCACCCTCCAAAAAGAGAGAGAATAGTTGGCAACTGATTTCCGATATTAATACTTATCATAGGCCAATTTCTTTTAAATTAAAGTAGTCAGGCACCTATACATTCTTCATTAAACGTGTGAGTTGTGGTTCTCCGCCTCGTGTTCCCACCAAGTTTATTTATGAACATCTAAAAGTTATAGAGACGAATTATGTGAAATTCGTATTTGATAGAGATATTACCTTTAGCCATACAGGTAGTCGAGTAGTGGTCTTGGGGCATACGGGCAGTGGTGTAGAGATAAAGAAGTGATCCTCAGACTTACAGGCAGTAGAGTAGTTGCAAGTGTAAACATAGTAAAGTGTCTGCTGGTGTATTATTTACTTACAGTTGTTTGACACATCTGCGGGTAAGTATAAATTAATCAAGCGACATATGAGAGTGCCTTCTGCTAATTACCTTGTGTACACCTCAGATTGCAAAGTCAAAAAGAGCTGCAAGAAGTACTCTGGTAAATGCAAGGAGAAGTGCTCCCGTCGGGAGCGCGAGATCACCAAAGGCTGCGGTGGACGAGGCTGCAGGTGCTGCGCCGCAGACTGTAAGATCAGACCGAAGTGTAAGAGGGCCGGGGGCTCCTGCAGCAGCACGAGGTGCTCCTCCAGCCAGCAGGAGGTGAAGGGCGGGTGTCAGGGCTACCAGTGCAGGTGTTGCAGCCCAAAGTGCACTATGAGGCCCTCCTGCAGGCGCGCGGGAGGCTGGTGCGTCACCAGCAGCAAGAAGTGCACCACCGGCCTGCTAAACAGCTCCGGCTGCAAGGGCAGCACCTGCTTCTGCTGCCTTCCAACGATCATTGGTGAGTGAGGGAGATGTGTGTGTGTGTGAGTGAGGGGAGGTGTGTGTTTGTGAGTAAGGGGAGGTGTGAGTGAGGGAGGTGTGTGTGTGAGGGAGTGAGTGTGAGTGAGTGGGTGTGTGTGAGTGAGTGAGGGGTGTGTGTGAGTGAGGGGAGGTGTGTGTGTGAGTGAGGGGAGGGGTGTGTGTGTGAGTAAGGGGAGGTGTGAGTGAGGGAGGTGAGAGTGAGAGGAGGTGTAAGAGTGAGGGGTGTGTGTGAGTGAGAGGAGGTGTGTGTGAGTGAGGTGAGGTGTGTGAGTGAAGGGAAGGGAAGAAATGAGTTTATGATAATATCAATAGAATATTGATGTATAACATTTAATTCAAATTCTTAAAAAAACATATATATATATATATATATATATATATATATATATATATATATATATATATATATATATATATATATATATATATATATATGTCGTACCTAGTAGCCAGAACGCACTTTTCAGCCTACTATGCAAGGCCCGATTTGCCTAATAAGCCAAGTTTTCCTGAATTTATATATTTTCTCTAATTTTTTTCTTATGAAATGAAAAAGCTACCCATTTCATTATGTATGAGGTCAATTCTATTTTATTGGAGTTAAAATTAACGTAGATATATGACCGAACCTAACCAACCCTACCTAACCTAACCTAACCTATCTTTATAGGTTAGGTTAGGTTAGGTAGCCGAAAAAGTTAGGTTAGGTTAGGTAGGTTAGGTAGTCGAAAAAACATTAATTCATGAAAACTTAACTTATTAGGCAAATCAAGCCTTGCATAGTAGGCTGAGAAGTGCGTTCTGGCTACTAAGTACGACATATATATATATATATATATATATATATATATATATATATATATATATATATATATGTCGTACCTAGTAGCCAGAACGCACTTCTCAGCCTACTATGCAAGGCCCGATTTGCCTAATAAGCCAAGTTTTCCTGAATTAATATATTTTCTCTAATTTTTTCTCATGAAATGATAAAGCTACCCATTTCATTATGTATGAGGTCAATTTTTTTTTTTGGAGTTAAAATTAACGTTGATATATGACCGAACCTAACCAACCCTACCTAACCTAACCTAACCTATCTTTATAGGTTAGGTTAGGTTAGGTAGCCGAAAAAGTTAGGTCAGGTTAGGTTAGGTAGGTTAGGTTGTCGAAAAAACATTAATTCATGAAAACTTGGCTTATTAGGCAAATCGGGCCTTGCATAGTAGGCTGAGAAGTGCGTTCTGGCTACTAGGTACGACATATATATATATATATATATATATATATATATATATATATATATATATATATATATATATATATATATATATATATATATATGTCGTACCTAATAGCCAGAACGCACTTCTCAGCCTACTATGCAAGGCCCGATTTGCCTAATAAGCCAAATTTTCCTGAATTAATATATTTTCTCTAATTTTTTATTTATGAAATGATAAAGCTACCCATTTCATTATATATGAGGTCAATTTTTTTTCATTGGAGTTAAAATTAACGTAGATATATGACCAAACCTAACCAACCCTACCTAACCTAACCTAACCTATCTTTATAGGTTAGGTTAGGTTAGGTAGCAGAAAAAGTTAGGTTAGGTTAGGTTAGGTAGGTTAGGTAGTCGAAAAAAACAATTAATTCATGAAAACTTGGCTTATTAGGCAAATCGGGCCTTGCATAGTAGGCTGAGAAGTGCGTTCTGGCCACTAGGTACGACACACATATATATATATATATATATATATATATATATATATATATATATATATATATATATATATATATATATATATATATATATATATATATATATATATATATATATATGTCGTACCTAGTAGCCAGAATGCACTTCTCGGCCTACTATGCAAGGTCTGATTTGTCTAATAGGCCGAATGATTTTCTTTATTTTCAATAAATTCTTTCCAGTTAGTTTATTTGAATTAGCATTATTATAGTATATTAGGAAAATAAATTAGTGACTTAATTGTGTTAGATTAGGTTAGGTTAGGTAGGGTTTTTTAGGTTCGGTCATATATCTACGTTAGTTTGAACTCAAATTTGAAAAAAATTAACTCATACATAATTAAATGGATAGCTTTATCATTTCATGAGAAAAAATGTTGAAAAATATATAAATTCAGAAAAACTTGGCTTATTAGGCAAATCGGGCCATGCACATTAAGTCGAGTACGACGTTCTGGCTACTAGGAGCAACATATATATATATATAAATATATATATATATATATATATATATATATATATATATATATATATATATATATATATATATATATATATATATTTATTTATTTTACAGCTACAACAACGGAAGCTCCACCAACATTCACAGCAACAGGAACGGCATCAACATTCACAGCAACAGGAACGGCACCAACATCCACAGCAACAGGAACGGCACCAACATTCACAGCAACAGGAACGGCATCAACATTCACAGCAACAGGAACGGCATCAACATTCACAGCAACAGGAACGTCATCAACATCCACAGCAACAGGAACGGCATCAACATCCACAGCAACAGGAACGGCATCAACATCCACAGCAACAGGAACGGCATCAACATCCACAGCAACAGGAACGGCATCAACATCCACAGCAACAGGAACGTCATCAACATCCACAGCAACAGGAACGTCATCAACATCCACAGCAACAGGAACGTCATCAACATCCACAGCAACAGGAACGTCATCAACATCCACAGCAACAGGAACGGCATCAACATCCACAGCAACAGGAACGTCATCAACATCCAC